AAATTGAAAGCCCGTTTAGACAGACATGATAAACCGATAGATCAAAGTATCCCTTTTCCCTTGGCGTCACTCATATGTGGAATTTGATAAATAGAAAAACTCATGAGCCGTAATTCTGGTCAAATTCGCAGATCATTTGGTCAGCTTTACAGTCAAATAATTTCAAACCTGGCCAAATGATCTGCAAATTTGACCAAAGCTACGGCTCAGTCTATGTCAAAATCTCGAAAATCAAAAAACTGAAAATTAATTGTCGTCGTGTTCCAGTATTCAAACCCATATGATTAGTAATCATTATTACTAATCATAAGCTGGGTTTGAATACTGGAACCGCGTTATCACACAACGCGACAATTAATTTTCAGGTTTTTGGCTTTTGGGATTTTGATAGATGTCTTTAACCATATGTGATGCTAATAATCATATGATTTGTATGTCCAAAATAGTTTGGACAGCAACTATAAACAGAAAGAAAAGTTCTAAATTAAATCCTGATTTTAAGACTCCGGGTCTTAACAGCTCCTGTTTCCTAGTATATATTATTAAATTGTAATGTTTGTAAATTAGTTACGATTAGTTGTCACGGTGTTTTTTTCCACAACCCGGATCCAATCAAATTGCTTTATTTCAAAAATCAAGTAATTTGATTGGATCCACGCAGATGCGGATACATGAAAAATAGGGATGTTAGGCGATACGTCTGGTTTGGTCCCGATCCGGTCCCTAAAAAGTCTGATCCAGGACTAGTTGAAAACGACCTGTCAAAAAATAGATAAAAACTGGACCTACTCTAGTGGTTTAAATGTACAGAACAATAGTGAACGAGTATTGTGTTTTAATTGTAACTACATGGATTGTATTGAATTCGTTCCCGTATTATAATCGCATTTAGATCGAAAATTAGCCAATTAGACGATCTTGAAATCACAAGATTATTGGACTAGTTTTTGAACTCCTAATGAAAAATACTGGTTGTCACATGTTTTAATTAATTTGACTGGTTAGTTTTACGATCACATGATTGATTTATATCACAGCTAATTAATTTAATTGGTTAAAGATATTCTTCTGAAACCAAACTTAATATATCCAAGATATAGCAGATCTTTATCTTTTTAATTTTAATACGTAAGACGGATCGTATTGTAAAATTTAAACCACAATCTAAACAGACATCAAACAAAGGTCGGACTTGAACTTGTGAAGCATCGATTATTGTTGATGAGATCTTATAAAAATAATTAGCTTTAAAAAATTATACAATAAATATTAAATGCTAATATTAATTAATAAAGTGCTCAACTAAATTTTTTTATAGTTTCATTGTTTTTATCGCAAGTATCATAACTTATTTCTGTATTTTGACGATTTAGTCCGAACATCAAAAATATAAACATATAAATCTGTGACGTATTCAGTTATATTTTATCAAGTTTAGTCACGAATGTTGTTGACATCTCTAGTCCATGTTTACAGTAAATTAGATATTGATTTTAAATCCAGATTTTAATTATTAAATCTTGATCCAGGTACAGTATTAATTATGGATTGCATTCAGAGGCAAAATGCAAGAGCTGCACTTTTTTTACTTCGATACAAGATTCCTAAATAAATTAAAGTTTGCCATTATTGTATCCATTGTTGCCGGTTTTGCCATACAAGTCGGGGAATTTTACATAATAGTCGAACGATATAGACAACGATATAATACAAATAACGTAACTTAGACGAATATTCGTCATTATAATCATTATAGAGTATATAATTATAGATGTTGAGTTCCTTAATTGCTATGATCAATTAACTTATCAAGAACAAATGAGAAACAAAGCTTTTATGAATTCAAACAAAGAAATATCCATAAAAATCAACTGTGTTTATAACCGATTACAGTTAGAACATTGCTGTTTTGTTTGTAATCGAAGTCTCTAAAGATCATATTTGTAATGAAACAATCATTGCATATCTAACATCAAACTCGTACGTACGTACATACGTATATATGTAAATTTAAAAAAAGAAAAAAATTACACAATACATCTTTGGAGCTTCAGGCACATGAAAAATTTAATTATGGAATGCATTGTAATAATTTAAACCTTACAATGATGACTACACACGTATTGCATAGTGAATTATACAATGCATTTCGTAACTGCATACGTAGTATGTACGTATCTAGGCCAATAATGCGTACTACGTAGTATTACATTCGAAGTGGGCAGAATTATGCAAGACCCGAATTATATGTGAAACAATACATTCTTTTCGATCGTAATTGTGACTACGAAACATAATTCAGCACACATTAAACACTTATAACAAATAAATAATCTAGATCGCGCAACGAACAATGCCAGATTTTTTTTTTACTTTTAAAGGATAGTAATGTTCAAACAATGACTACCTAAGACACAAAAACAAAATTTTCTTGGCTATGTATATAGAATTCAGGAAAGCATATTTACGCAGTATTAATACTATTAATAATTCATTCTTTTGTTATGTTAAGTGATAAATGTATATATATTCGATTTTTGATTATTTAGGATATCGGACAATACATCAGTTTCTTCAACAATACGAACAATACGGCTTAATCTAATGTCTGAATTCCTGAATTATTAAAGTATTAGATCACGTATAGAACAAAAAGGTTCTTATGTATTGATAATATCGAACCTCTAAGATATTTATCTTTTCTTAAGTCATTTAAATACAACGGTGTACAGAATTTCTTTAAAATTTTTTTTTTCATCGTTTTGTAATTTCTTCGATTTTGTAAAAACTTTTGAAAATAAAAACTTACCACACGTAATAAAAATAAATATGTATTTTTTATCGATGGTCTTTGATGCTCTAACAAAATTGAGAGCTGTTAGTGAACTGGTAAAAGTACAAGAAACGTTTAAAATTGCCAAAAAATTATGGGAAGACATATATTTTGAGGGATATGATGATATTTATGACAGACTATACTTTTCGCACGACGATGATGATGATGATGATGATGATGATGACAGGAATGCTAAGACCGCAGGTACTTTATTCTGGTTCGTGATAATTGAAGAGATGAATCAAAAATAACGAAAATCCTTTCATTTTTCCTTTTTTTAAGAGATTGGCGAATGCGGAACTACGTTACCCAAATCTTTACCTTCTAACCCGCAAACTGAATTCGGTGAGATCGTGGACAAAAAAGATTGTAAATCTCAAAAAATCACCACAAAACCTGTGAAGAAACCTAGATTTAGCTTGATAATTGAAATCAATACTTCTGTCTTGAACAAGAGCAATGTTAAGACCGCTTTCCGTGACAATTTTGTCTCTACCACCACCAATGGATCTATCGATGCAAAAATTGTCGGTCAAGAGGATAATCTAAAGAAACAACATATATTTTCAACAAGTTATCCCCAATTTTCACGTACTGAAGATCGTACTATCCTCGATTATAATAATATTAGCTTAGAGCTTGCTAACAATCCAGCTGAATTTTTGAACACTGACTCACAAGACGAAATGCCCGGCACTCCAAGCAGTACTTCAAGTACTGTCAGTATTATAAATACTCCGGTAACTCCAATTACACCCTTATCGTTTGATTTTGATGATGACGACGAAGACGACAACAACGAAAATGAATACTTAGATGATTTTATTGCTACATCACCTAGGCTTTCCTCTCAAACAAAACCTATTAAAATATTTCACACATATGCAAAATGTAAAATACAAAAAAAGAGGACTATTTCACCGAAATTTTCTAATTTTCCTGATAATAATAATACACCAAACTGTTATCACAAACAAAGCAATAATAACATTTATGTTTCTATCGTGGAAGAATTTAATTCATATATAAAAAATGGAAAAATAGAAGGACATAGAAATAATAATATAGAGCATGAGAAAAATAACGAAGATGTGACATCAAGAAGCAATGACGAAAACGATTCAACTGAAATTACTGAAGATACGCACACCGCAATCGATATAACTAAAGAATCTTCTCCGAGACAACAACCAATAGAAATTACCACTGATGAAGAAACATCAACGTCAGCCGAAGATAGTAGTAGTTCTGAACAAGAACAAAGTCTTGACGATTATCCATCTTCTCAACCATCGCATTTTAAATCATCAAAAAAATCCACAGAAACAAGCAATAGTAGGCCAACAGAAGATCCAATAGATTACAACCATATAATAATTCAAGAGCAGACGCGTGTGAGAAATAGAATAATTAATTGGCTTTTAATTTTATTTTTAATTATTGAATCTTACTTCTTTTCTAGGATAGGCCTTTTTGTTTATGCTTGGAGAGTTATTATGTTAGTTTGGTTTGCTGTAATTTTTCTCCTTATCTTTGAATTTTGTGAGAAGAGAAATAGAAAGAACGATAAAATTTTTTGATACTGTAATACTAATACTGTATCTTATTGAATTGATTTACTAGCTAGCTATTCTGTATATATTTTCTTTTTTTAGTTTCAATTTTTTTTCAATTTGCAAACTTAGATATAAAATCTCAAAATTTCGATATCGATATAGGATATAGCATGTTTTTTTTTAATTAATATTCAAAAATTAAACATTTACTTAGATTTTCGAACTTATGAATTTTTTTTTTTTATTCAATTTTGGAATATCGACTTTTACTATACCAATGAAATGATCTTTATGGTTTTAAATATTAAAAACGATAGCTAATACAATTACACGAAAAATTTTCAAAAATTCCTCAATAAATGATCTTTGATAAATTCTGCCTGAGTTTTGATCGCAGATATGTAATACGTATAAGTGTATCAACAATTTACGACCATTTACGTGTTTCGTGTTTTGTGTTCATCCTGAAATTTTTCGATATAACTCTATCCTTTCTACTTTAACTCCAACGTAATTCGGTAACTTGCCCAAAAGCTTAGGTGCAATAATGAATTTAGATGAAAAATATCCGGTACGCTTATAAATAATAAATTTTTGTATTGTATAGTTTACAAATTTTTAAGTTCTGTGTTAATCATATTCATGATGATCTTCCTTACTTACGAAATGTCTTGAAAGCAATACAAACAATTCCTACCCAAATAATTTTTTGAAATATTTTTTGGGTGCGTTACTAAAGTCTTACTCTGATTTAGACCTCGCCAATGCCTAAAAAACATAAAAACGCGTCAGATTCTCAACTTGAAGAAACATCTTTATATTTCAAATTAAAACTGGATGCAACATACAGTACGTGGACGAAAAATCATAACATCGAATTTTAACTTTTTAAGCAATGCCTTTCAACCGTGTGGAAAAGAATTTATGTAAGAATTAATACCGGTAAAGTTAATTATAGAACCTATAGACAAGTCGTTAGACTTTTGAAGTTTACCACTGGCGATCAAAACCTACTAAGTAATTAGGGTTGTGAATACTAAGTAAAAATGGTCAGAACTCCCAAAACCTTATGTAACCTAAAATTTGAACTATTATATACAATATAAACCTCCTACTGGTGTTTTGTAGTAATTTTCTATACTTTTTATCAAAAAAAAAAACTTTGGAAAAATTTTGAAGTTATTCTTAATTGACTTGGCCTCATCTATATTGTATAGATGTTGCAAGTCTTTGATATTTTTAATTTTTTTACGATAATCGACTTTGCCTTATCTGTATTGCACTGCATGTTGCAAGCCTTAACTTCTTTTATAATAATTGACTGTGTTCACACCTGATGTTGCAAGTCTTGATAATATTTTGTCTCAAAAGGTGTTGCAAGTCTTGTATCGCACAAGGTGTTGTTCAAGTTTTGATTTTTTTGACTTTATCTCACTCATAATTACATAAGGAGTTTCCAGTTTTCGTTTGATTTTTTTTCATATGTTCTCTTATAAGAATTTTTTATTTTTTTTTTACCTATATATTTTATTTAAGTTTTGCAAATTTAACATGTTAAAGTTTTGGTTTATATATGTATTTGCTTATTATATTAAGAGTAACTTTTTTTTTAGAATGAAAAAAAAAATCTTACGCGAAAAGCATTTTCGAAAATTATCCATAGGTTGAAAATTCAAACTATTAGTATTTGGAAAAGTAAACATTTAAAGCCTATTTAATTAATATTTTATAGCAAACAAGTTTGACAAACTTTGTTTTGGAACTAGTCAACTGAAAATTGGATTGGGAAATATTTTCCAAATGACATTAGCATTGTATTGGTAAGGTAATAGGCGCTTCTTTAGAAAAAAGAAAATTTCTTTTTTTTTGGTCTATTTTAAAAATTCACATAAATAAATAAATACTTTTTATAGACTTTCACTATGATTTTGTTGATTGTAATTTCAAATGCAGTTTCGACAAATACTTGGTTGTTTGGAATCATAACTTGAGTTCTATTTTCTTTAGTCCAATCGATCGTGTAATATTATAAAGCCTTGTATTCAAATCTCTTTTATGTTTTTTGTTAAGATCTGTTGGTTGGTAAGAACAATCTTTGTCATAAATTTTTGTACTTGATATGCTTTCGAGCGAAACCTTAATTTTGAATGTGTTGACATTGTAGTATCGTTTGGAATACAATCGCAAAAAATATATATCATTATCGCTATATTATTAATAATGTCCAAATTAAAAACTTGCCAAATAATCATTCGGTCAATTTTTTATCAGATGTCCCAAATTACAACTGTTAGCTGCTCTCATAATTTTGGGACAACTGATGACTGAATTCGATAAGTAACCGAGTCGGAATCAATAGGTTGGCCAAACCCAGAAACTTATCAAATTTCGGTCGTCAGAAATTTTTCAGTTGTCCCGGAATTTATGTAATGAAACAGCTGTAATTAAAAAATGGTTTGCCGGCCCACATTACAGCTGAATGATTTTTCGGTCGATTACAGTTGTTTTCATAAATTCTGGAACAACTGGAAACATTGCCGATGACCGAATCGATAAGTTACCGAATCGGAATTGACTCGGTTGAACTCAGAAGCTTATCGATTCGGTCATCGGCAATTTTTTCAGTTGTTCCAGAATTTATGAAAACAGCTGTAAGTTAGTGGTTATACTCGAAAGGTTATTATTATAACCAATAACCGGTTTTATACCCTATCGAAGTAAGAGGGTAACAGTTATATCCGGATATAACCTCTATAAAAAATACGCTGTCATAGGGATGTTAACAGTCAGTCTGGTTTGGTCTATTATGGTCTTCAGTCTTAAGATTTTGCTAGTCCAGGCCGGTCCAGACTGGTCCGGTCTTAATTAAGACTTAGAGCAGACCAATTTTTTTTAGGTCCAGACCGGTCTTAAGACTAACTGTAGTCTATTAGTCTAAGACCGGACCACTCATGTAAATTTTTTATAACGATCGCCTGAACTTTTAATTTATTTATTAAATTATAGAATGAAGGCAAATCGGGCACCAATCAGCATCACGCGAAATGTTTTGAAACAGATGTTTGGTGCAAATAGGAGACCTTTAAGATACAAATCGGGTTCTTATAGGCGTTCAATACATATCGGAATGCCGATAGCTCTATAGGAAAGCTTGCCATAACTTTTTCGATTAACCTATAGAGCTATTGGTATTCCGATATGATTGAACATCTATCTGAACCCGATTTGTATCTTAAGGGTCTCCTATTTGCGCCAAATATCTGTTTCAAATCAGTTTCATATCGGAATTACTTGATGCAGATTGGTGCCCGATTTGCCTTCATTCGACCTGTGTTTCTACAAAGCATTTTTACCTTTTGCATTATTTTATATGATTTCATTATGAATAACAATTGTACATATATAATTTCTTACACAATTCAGGAAATTTGCTCAGGCCTTATAAGGAGAATTTCAATCGCACTGTAATTAGCAGTTCCCTCCTATCTCACCAACAATTAACCGACAGCTCATTTAGTCGACATCACGTAGGAGTACCGTCAAAGGAAAACCTGTCATCGGATTTTCGATTATATTTTTGTGTACAGCTAGCCATCTATGGAAAATCCGTCATCTTGATAGATTTTCCATAGATGGCTAGCTGTACACAAAAATATAATTGAAGTGACAGGTTTTCTTTGACGGCATTCATATGATATCAGCTATCACTGGAATGATTGTCGGTAAAGCAAGAAATCTTTTAGCATATTAAGTAAATGCAATTAGTGGCATTTTTTTCTACGTACTCGGAAATCTGCTTTATCTTATGATTGAAGCCCCATTTTCCTTGGCGTCGCTTTTAAGTTAACCGGTTATCATATCTTAGGGTATGGCCACGAAATTAAATTAGCGTTAGTGATTTCGGTATGATCGATATATTATAACGGTGTATTAACAGTCACTAGAAGAGCGCCAAGTAATATATTTGAATTAAAGTTAACCGAGAACTATTTTATTATAGGTAAATATGAAAAATATACTCTATTTGGTAAGATACCTGAATAAAAAAACGCTCTATACAGTTATATGTAATATTGTAATAACGCATGTTTAACAAATGGAGTCTTTGCCTTGAAAATCACCCTCCGACATTTCTGATCGGGTTAATTCGGACAAAAACAAATCTCACGTTTATATTTGAATCTCTTTTTGCTTTATTAATTCGAAACTTTATTCTATAAACTATTGAATTATGAAGACAAAAGGGGGTTTACATATAAACATGACTTTGTTTTTGTCCGAATTAGCCAAAGACCCCAAATATCGATATTAATATGTAAATTGCGTAATTTACCGATAGCTATTTTGAATCCTGACCCGCTTGTCCCGGATCGGTTGACTCAGTGTTGGCTAGAGTTGCGGGTGAAACTAATCTTCAATGGTGCACCAGGTGAAACTGGTGCACCGATGATAAAACTAGAGTTATAGATGAAGCTAATCTTCAATGGTGCACCAGGTGAAACTGGTGAAATTAATTAGTTTCACCTGCAACTCTAGTCGGCCGGGTAATAGCTTAATTCAATCATAATCGGATATTACAGCTGTTCTCATGAAATTCTGGAACAACTGAAAAAATTGCCAATGACCGAATCCGGTTACTTATTGGTTCCGACCCGGTAATCTATCGATTCGGTCATCAGAAAATTTTTCAGTTATCCCATTATGAGAACAGTTGTAAAACAATTGAACGAATGAATATCATTTTTGACCAGATCACATTCTGGCGGATTGGCGGAATTGGGTCTTTATTTAGATACTCTGAGAGGATTTTAAAAAGTTTTTCGAATATTTTACAAAAAATATGTGAATTTGAACCCTAAATTTACTTAATAACTTTATTTATTTTATTTAATCATGTCAATTTAGGGTCTGATTAAAAGGGCCAATTCCGCCGATCCGCCAGAATGAGACTACACTATATGAGTGATGCACAGGGAGTAAAATTTTATTCGTTAATCATTATGCCGATCTTAAAGATTTGGCACTGGGGCGCGACCAATCATTGGATATTACAAATAAACGTTTACTACATAAGCTATAATAAATGATTATTTGTCATATCCTATAATTGGTCACATCCCAGTGCCCGATTAACGAATAAAATTTTACTTACAGGTTTTCCCTGTGCATCACTCATATGAACAATTATTCTTGCTTTTGATTGGCTAGTTAAATATTCTACTGCACTTAGGAAGGTTTGACTTTGCTATAAAAATCATGTCCGGGAACAATCATTTTTCGCGGAGATTATTTACAAAAAAATCATCGTTCCGGCATACCTCTTGACTAACACTAATACCTAAATTTATAATCAAAACTTAAATTCCAAACTTTCATTTTTGATTGGCACTAAAAAATAATTGGATGATGTTAATCATAACTCTATTTTTAGCCAAACTACTATTTCATACTATTACTATGTTGTAACAGTCTAACCGCATAAATATTGTAAAATTCTTATCTACGTAAAATATTAAGTTGTATTACAGTATTATAAAGATAAATGAATAGCTTTCAAACTTACGTGTTACGTATTTTTAAGCAACTTTGAAAATTCACTAATAAAAAATATGCGATTGTACCATCCGCCTACAGGATAGATTTACTACGTACTACTTATCATAGAATATTAATAAAAATTCTTAATAAAATTATACGTACAATATATATTTGAAAAAAAAAAATGATAACGATAACTGATAATCTTTAATTAATTTAGAAAGAACAATAATGATACGTAGTAGTATAAACGTACAAAGATTCAATTAATATAGGTTATATGTTTCGTGATAAAAATGCATAATTAGGGGCGTCGCCTCACGGAAAAAAAAAGTCTGTATCGCCTATTCGGCGCACAGTTCAAAAAGATAATCGATTGTATCATCAAAGATCATCACTGATGCATTTAATCTTTTTTCAGAATTTTTGCTGAGTAAAGGTAATCATTAATTTACTAATTGCATCACACGAATCACAAGAATATCACATGGTTTTATATATACGTATTTTTTTTTTTAAGAGCTCGATCTTTTAAAAATTTTCATAATTATTATATTGCCGCCATGTCTAAAACTATTACCGTTGAAGAGGTTGCTCAACATAATATTGAAAGTTCCATCTGGATCATTGTTCATGACAAAGTTTATGATGTAACAAACTTTTTGAATGAACATCCTGGTGGCAAGAAAGTCTTACTCAAAGTCGCTGGTTCGGACGCGACGAAACAGTTTGATAACTTTCACTCATTAGACGTGCTAAAAAAATACTCCCCTCAATTACAAATTGGTAATATTGGCAATGATCAAGCTGAAGAACAAACACAAGAAGCAGGTTCGGGTGAAGGTCCATTCGGAGATCTTGTACCATTTGGTGACCCATATTGGTACCAAGACTTTTACAGTCCGTATTATAATGAATCGCACCGCCGTCTACGTGCTGCTATGCGCAAGTTTGTGGATACAGAGATCATGCCTTACACTTTTGAGTGGGATGAAGCTAAAACAACTCCTAAAGAACTTTTTATAAAAGCTGGTAAAGCCGGTATTTTACCTGGAGTCTGTGGCGCCCCGTGGCCAACAAAGTAAGAAAAGGATTAGCGCGTTCTCTATAGTCTAAAACGTTATCAAACATTTCAAACTTTTAATTTTACATATTTTTAATAATTCAAAATTTTAGATATGCACAGTATCCTCCGATTGGTGGTGTCAAACCAGAAGAATTTGATAATTTTCATGAATTCATCATTACAGATGAATTAGCTCGTTGTGGATCAGGGGGTATTCTGTGGGGTTTAACTGGTGGTAGGTTAAAAAAAAATTTTTTATACCGGTATATAGTCAGAATTGTTTTATTAATTTTTATTTTTCGTTACTGTAGGTTTAGGTATCGGTCTCCCACCCATTATGAAATTCGGAACTGATGAACTCAAACAGAAGGTTGCACCAGAATGTTATGCTGGAACAAAAAATATTTGTCTTGCTATTACAGAACCTTATGCTGGATCAGATGTTGCCAATCTTAAAACAGAGGCAAAACTTACAGACGATGGAGAATACTATATAGTTAACGGAGAAAAGAAATGGATCACCAATGGTGTGTTTGCTGATTACTTCACTACTGCAGTTCGCACAGGAGGTCCTGGAATGGGTGGAATCTCTCTTCTTTTGATTGAAAGAACAAGACCAGGTGTTAAAACTCGTCAAATGCAATGTACTGGTGTATGGGCTTCAGGCACCGCTTATGTCACATTTGAAGATGTAAAAGTTCCAAAAAGTAATCTTGTTGGAAAGGAAAATCGCGGATTTAAGGTAATTATATAATATATATATATAGTAATAACTAATTAGTTTACTTTACAAATATAAGAACAATAATATTTATTGTTATTATTAATTTCATAAAATTAGTGTATCATGCATAACTTCAATCATGAACGAATGGGAATCGCTGTTCAAGCTAGCCGATTTGCTCGTGTATGTTACGAGGAATCTATGAAATATGCTCATAAACGAAAAACTTTCAATAAAACACTTGTTGAACACCCAGTTATTCGTAATAAACTCGCTCATATGGCACGACAAATTGAAGCCACTCATGCCTGGATGGAAAGTCTAATTCACCAAACAAACTTTATGCATGGAGAAGAAGCAATGACAAGACTTGGTGGTCCAATTGCGTTATTGAAAGCACAAGCAACACAAACATTTGAATTTTGTGCTCGAGAAGCTGCTCAAATTTTTGGCGGTTTATCTTACTCTCGTGGCGGGTGCGTGAATAAAATTTATTTTTGCATTTGGCTTTTTAATTAAAATTGTGTATTAACTTATTTATTTTTGGTTATTAGTCAAGGTGAAAAAGTCGAGCGTTTATATCGTGAAGTGCGTGCTTATGCAATTCCTGGCGGTTCTGAAGAAATTATGCTCGATTTGGGCATTAGGCAATCTCTGAAAGTTGCACAGTTCTATGGAGCCAAACTTTAATAGTTTTTTTATGTTTTAGAATAAATAATTTTAGATGTATCTATTACTCACTCCAAAATTCTATGAAATTAAGGTTATTTGAACTATACTAAATTTTCAACAAATTAATTTGAAAGTTTAAATCGCATTTATTTAAGTTTTAACGAGTATTTTAATAAATTTTTTTTAAATCTTTATTACTACATAACATTCTCAAGTGACAATGAGTCAAATGAAATTCTAATGAAAAGTCAGTATATGCAATTAAATTAAACTGTACTGTACTGTATAATGATAAGGATTATTTGTGTTACAGATAGAATACCGTACGCCACTGACTTCATAGGAGGACTTCCATATTATCAGCTGATGTAAATCAATTTCCCGGGTAACTTAAGTTTTGATTTCACTATATGATAGTACCCCCGTGGCGAAAAAAGTATCGCTAAAACAGTACAATGAGATTCTACTTGAACCAACCCGTTATGATTGGACGATATAGACGAGCCCTATACAGTATTGGTCGCTGAACTAGTCTGTTCCACAGGATCGTTGTTATTGTTTATCATTTTCGCGTCGCGACCTTATCATCTGACATGAGTTTTTGTCGATCATGTCGCTCTATCTTGTTGATCTTGTCACGTAACCTTAGATAACCCATATTATAACCCATATTTTTTTTCGTAGTAACTCATCAATTTTTCGATAAAGCTTGTGATGGTTTTTTGATCATGAGTTGAGTAGCATTAGAATAAAATAGAATTGAGTTTGAGGTGTATTTTTATATGCATCTTGATAAAAAAATATGTATATATAGATGCTGGTAAAATATGGTAAAATGTGGTGAAATTGGTGAAATTAATTTCACTAGCATCTATACTTCAGACTTTGATTTGGATTTATTCAATTTTATTTTGATTGCTATTTTTCTGTCTTTTGATAAGTATTATTATTATTATTATTATTATTTATTACTTTGATGGGTCTTGCCATAACTTGACCTCTTAGTTTTATATTAAACTATATACATTTATTTCTAAGACTAATTTAAAGCCCAATTGTCTTTTAAAAATTTTAGCAAAAAGTGGGGATTTGGCTTGCCCTCTTCAAAAGATTGGCATTGTTTACTTTTCAAATTTGAATAGACTAGTAGAATGCAATCATGTGTTTGTTTACAGATGGATATAGCACTACTTTACATAACTTAGTCTGAAAACACTAATTACAGCAGCAGGTAGTTTGAGACATGGGTTCTTGAACAGTAGCAGCATCTAACTTGAAATATAAATTGGAACAGGCAATGGAGTCATCAAGAAGAGTAGAAAGTAAATTTTAATATTAAGGTGAAGCTTTACAAAAGAGATATACAAATATTACACTTGTTATATAATTTTTACCAACCATACACAGGTTATAATAGTGCTTTTAGAGTTTTAGATTTCTTTTATGTTTTTTCTTTTTTATAATTTGTATTTTTTTTTTTTTTTTTTTTTTTCTTTTTGTAGTTATTTATTTTTATAGCTTTTTTGTTTAAACTTTTTTCTTTTTTGTTTTGTGCCTCTTGAGAAGAAGGAAGAATTTAAAGAAAAAAGAGGTTTTGATACAATGGAAGCCAAGCCTAGGCTAAACTATATTTTTAAATATACTACACTGTATATGAGGTATATTAGTCAATATCAGTATGATAGTATCTTTAAGAAACAGCTAGCTTTTAGTCTAATAACCTGTTGAATAGCTTGGTCTTGTATTAAGCATTATAAATTTAATAAAATTTTAGTGCAGTTATTAAAGAAAAAAAAAATATTTAAAGCTTAAACTCACCTAACTGTCTAAAGTAGTATCTAGGTGCAACTTATTACACTAGCTTACAAATAAGCTAGAAAGAAGTTCTTTTTACAAACTTGTCTAAAAGGGATTTATACTCTTTTGTATTCAATTTGAGATAGTATCACTTTATGTTTTCCACATCTTCTAATATAACTTTGTTTTTTTTCTCTTCGTTATTTTTTTTTTTACCCTTAAAAACTAGTAATACATTCTTCTTTAGTTTCAATTTCTTTTTTTTTTTATTCTTCTTTTTAATATTTTGCTCTTTTTTTTATTCTGCAACTTTATTTTATTTTATTTTTTTTTTGTTCAAATTCGGCAATCATGCTACAACTTTATTAAGCTTTGTAATAGTCATTTAGACTATTAAATTTTTAGAGAGACTTATTGATAAGTGATAAACTCTAAACATGTCAGCAGATAGCATATGAGAACTATCTCTAAATGACATACACCGCGCCCGAGGGCCACACAACTATATCTAAATTACGAGTTGTGACTCACCTGGTTACCCCAATTGGCACCTATATGCAACCTGCTATAGTAGGTTTCTCCTCCATTCAGCCCCTCCTAAAATCAGATATTGGCCGGCTCTCAACAGATAGTACCTACCGCCTGTCATGACTACCTTCCCTTTTTTCAAGCTTCTTCCACCTAAACCCGACTAAATCATTAACTCTTATTCATACATAAAAGAAAAAATTTAAAGCCATGTTTATGAAAGACCTAAACATTTTAGAAAAAAAAAACCTCATAGTAGAAAAAAAAAAAAAAACAGAAAAAGAAACAAAATTCTAAAGTAGTCTAACATAAATTGAACAGAGATAAAAAAAACGAAAAAAGGGAAGGTAGCCATGACAGGCACCTTGGTAATAAAAATTATATAATAACTGCAACTAATTATTATATCTCGTTATAAAACGTTCGTCTTATTTTTAGGACTCGTTCCGTGCACTGACTCAACTCGGGTATCTCATAAACGAGAGTACTATATTCATCTCTGTACTATAGCGCCGCATTTGTAAATCAACAAAACACGTGGTTGTTTTCTACTGAGTCTATCCCGATTTGGTAAAAGTAAACAATGCCAATCTTTTGGAGGGGGTAAACCAAAATGCCCACTTTTTTTGAAAATTATGGTAAGAATGACAAAAAACGAGAGAAAGGTAAAAAAAACCAATAGAAGAGCACCAAAGGAGCATGAGTTTTCTTTACTTTGATTAAACCCTCCACCTATGACTTGCACAGTACTCACTTTTTTTGGTGAGTGATAAACTCTGAGCTTGTCGGCAGGTAGCGTATGAGAACTACCTCTAAATAACAAGTGCCATGTTGCAGGGAACAGTGAGTGATAAACTCTGAAACAAGTCGGCAGGTAGCATATAAGAACTACCTCTAAATGACAAAAGCTGTCCTGCAAACCATTTTTCCATGTCTTATGCTTTAAACCTCAACATTTTATTGAAGTGCCCGACGTCCGGTGTTTTTTCTTGTAAAAAATTTTTGGAAAGTGGTGGTCCAGATGATCGTCGGAAAGAGTTTATGAAAACTACATTGTATTCTGCAACTTTATTGTATCTGCCTTTCTATATAAAGTTATTAAACCTATTCTAAATTATATGTGTTGTGAGTTCTATTGTGCATGTGGCTATTTTCATTAAGTTTAAAAGATTTTTAATTTTGTCAAAAGAGTTTATTGTTATTAAGCCTTTGATTTATAACTTTCTCTTTTCATAATTGATGATTTTTGAATCCCAATTAGAGTTTTGCAAAGAGAATTTTTTGAGTACTGATATTTTTCCTTTTTTGTAAATTTGAACTATACTCTGTGTTCTCAATATTTTGTCATATTATTTTATAGAAAGAATATTCAGCCAGGTAGTTTTATATTTCTGTGATACTGCTACCACATACTATACAATTACTACTTGTATAGATATTTGGTCTTGTCATCAGAGTTCTGAGTACTAGTAAGTTTCTTAAAAGACATTTTAAATATATTGCAAGTTTTTTGCTTTTTTTGCAGAGTATTATTACATTTTACTTCTTTTAGTTTTTTTATTCTTTTCTAGTATATTTGCCAGTCTAAATTAAGATTGTTCATTCAGGTTCTAAAGCTAGAATTGACTCTATTAATTTTTAATTTGTACTATTTCAAATTTTAAAAATTTTCTTTAAAAAAGATCTGGTCACTTTTTCAATTCTGTATCTGCTCTAGAAAAGAGAAAATGCAATTCTTGTATTGAGATTTACATGAATATTGTCTAATATACTAACATTGTGGTTTTTTTTGCTAATATATCTACTTTGTCATTCTATTTGTTGTTGCTATGACTTTTGACCCTTTAAAGCTTAAGATTAATTACTTTTGCTTTAATAAGATTTGCAATTTTGATTAAAATATCTCAGTTCTTTTCTTTAAAAATTTTGTTGAATTTCTAATTTTGTCTATACTGGCAATTACTGTTGTGCTATTTCATCAAAAAATTTTTTATATAGATACATATCGATATATAGCAAAAAATCGATATATATCGATAAGATAAAAACGGCATTTATCGATAATTTAGGATATATAACGATATATTACCAA